CATTTTTACCTCGCACTAATCATATTGACTATTCATTTAATATCAGAAGGGATTTTTCTGGATATTGTAGTAATTTCAATAGGTAAGATCAGAAGTCAATTGAAGCTGGACTACTACCTGGAAGTACTGGATGATCGTTTCGTCCTATTGTGGGGCTCCTCATTGGTTAGCATCCACCACCCTGCCCTGCGAGACTCGAAAACAGGACCTATCGGTATCGCGCATAATTTAATTTACTGCTATATACTTTTTTTTAAAAAATTGGATCATCCTCGAAATATTAAACTATCCTTACAAACTCATTTAACTCTGATCAGCTCGAATGATCATTACTGTTGTGTTTTTATTTGATAAAAGGAAAGTGTACATATGTAGTAAATGTGACTTCATCGCAAAATTACACAGTGCTTTCATAAAAGATGATAACCGTACATTAGGTACATTATTTTCACATCTTCCTTCAGTTGTTCTTTTTATACTTCATGATTCTTTCAATTCTATTGTTGTTACAATCACTCTCTGTTCCTATTCCTGTTCTCTTCAATTGAATCTTCTCAATCTTTTTCTGGCAGTCATTCCACTTCGGTATTACATATTACTCATATTTATTAACAAAAGTAACATGCATCACACATATAGCGCCTTGAATAAATATATCTTTGCAAAAATGGAGCCTTCATACAAGTGGATACAAAAGAAGTCTCTCTTTGTAAGCAAACTTTTCATTCTTTCTAAATATATATGACCTAAGGAAAAGGTTCATAATCTCGGTAAATAAATATCATTTACTGTCTTGTTACTAACTGAATATGGTTTCCTGGTTTTTTTTCCATATTTGATGATGCACAAGCATATAATCACCTTTAAGGTAAACGTAACAATAACATTTATCAAATAAGAGTTTAACAAATTTTCTCACAGTATAAACTAAAATAAAAAAATTTAGAAATCAATTCAGATTGTTGATCAAATATTTATCTCCTTCTGGTTAACTTTTTCTTAACAAGATCGTTTTCTACTTTATGGGGTTAATGATACCATGCCCGACCCGAGATTGGAACCGGCAGTAAACCTAGAAGGACTACATGCGGAGTTATTGTTGATCAAATATGTGACCGAAAATAACAGACTATCAGTATCTAAAGTTATCATTTCCATTACATGTTTGTCAACACAATTGATAATAGAATTCTACGGTGTTTAATTAATCGAATCACTGTAAAGTATCAGTTAACTACGTGAATGTTATTAATACTTCTAACTAAATAAACTATCAACAAAGTTCTTTCTTCTATAGTTTTAAAATTATTCACATCGCTGTACTTATAACGAATGGGCTTAATGTTAAGGCTTAAAATCTCAAACATCTATCCTATTGATCACATTTTGCACTGGATTATCCAACACCGAAAAAAATTCAAATCAATGTAGTAGCTCTCAGATCTGTGATCATAGAGGTGAAACTGTAATTTGAGCGAAGCTTAAGTGACCTTGAAAGTGTCCACCTAATAACTAGAAGTAAATGAGGGTTTTAAATCAGTGTGAGAAATTAGAATTATGATTTACGGTTGATGGTTAAGGTTAGGAATTCGATTTAGGGTTTTCATCACGAACTGACATCAATTATAATGTGAAAACTCTATTTAGCCAAATGGATGAGTGAATTTCACACTAAAATCCAAGATTTCTTATCTTACACTTGATTGATCCGTCTATAAACTGTAGTCTCACTTCAAAACTATAATTTCCTTGTTCGCTATTTGACAAATTTACGATAAACAGTTTGATGAAGTTTTCTTCTCTGAGCTAGATAGTTTGATCATGAGCTTTCATCGTTCTTTTGAACGACATCATCAGTGCAAATTTTAGGTAGAAGTGAAGAAGGAGAACGATGAAACCTCACGACCAAACTATCCAGCTCAGAGAACAAAACCCCATCAACAAAATCCATCTGAGCTGCAATTCTCCTCCACTATCACAAGTTTTGTTTATCAATTGAATAAGAGAATCATATTAGAAAACGTTTTAGTTAAACAATTGTTAATCTAAATTGATAAATTGATAATGATTATAATTTTATCAATAAACAAACCCTTATCCAAGTAAAAATCATAAGATTGATAAGATGAAGTTAGAAATGTAAACATAAAGTTTGTAATGTAAATATTATTAAATAAAAATTACCGTTTATTAATAATAGTTTAAATAAATCACTGATTATGGTAATGTTATAGTAGATAGTAAGGTTTGTGATTTGATAATAACTAAATAGACTTAAATAGACCTTGTCTACTTGTTAGTGAGACAAATAGTTTCAATTGACTGATGATCTCAATAATTGAAACTACTATAATATTCATAGAAACCCCTTCTGATATGAATCAACATATGTGGACCAGTGACTGGCTTCAAGAAGTATATCCTAGAGTTCTAGTGAGAAGTAGTGAATAGTGGAGTTCAACCAGGTCTGTTGTGAGATAACAGAAACGCACTGATGACAATGGTGGATATGTGGCTCAATTTCGTGTATTGGTTGAAGTTAAATATTAACACCGTTGGATGCCGGCTCAGTGGTCTAGTGGTTAAGCGCTCGCGCGCGAGACCGATAGGTCCTATGTTCTAATCTTGCGGGGAGGCGAGATCGTAGATGTACACTGGTAAGAAGTCATACAATTGAATGAAACGGTTTTCCAGTGATTGCAGGTTTTCCATGGTGATCTAGCTTCAATTAACGCATGGTCTCAACCATTGAAATTACTATAATATCCACAAAAGCCCTTGTGATATCAATATTTAACAATCATAAGTGATGAAATCAGAGTATTGAGAAAAGATATTTTAAAATAATCATGAAGATATTGATATTACAGTTATTATTAGAACTTAGTTAGATTACTTGTTGATATCAAAAAATATTCGAATTCGTTTTTGAATCGAACACGTTTCCTCTTGCTGAAGTTTATGCTAATGGACAAACAGGAAGTATTGAATTCTTGATAATGGACAAATGCATCTTAAAGTCAGCAATAATGTTAATTAAACAATTATTTATTTTGTATATTTACAACTGTTTGAATTGTTATGTTGAAACAAAATAGTGTTGAAAACTTGTAGTGGCTTTGGTTCGTTATTCAATCAACTTTGTAACCATTGTAGTGGTAAATAAATCACCAAGATCAATAGTTCTTTAAATCTTCGACATTTTAATGAACGCACTTAGCTGAAGGCGCTTGGTTGCTCATTCGCATCAGATCACGAGTGGGAACGCCATGCTCCCGTAAATGCTAGGCATTTTAGAGCAGTTACACCTCGATATATTGATAACCTATCAAATATATCTTCGAACCTCCTTACTTCTGACTTTTGGTTTCACTGGGTGTGCACAATTGAATTATAGGTGTTACTGGCTAAAGTGTTGTCAAACTACATATACTTGTGGCATTTTCACTGTTATTATATAGGTCACAATGGTGTTCGATATCATAAGGCATTAAGCAGCGGCAACTACACCAGGATCACAAAGCTATAAGCACATCAAGAGAAATCGAAGAAGAGGAGCGAATGTGTGTATGTGAGCAAGTACATAGGCAAATTTATAGTTAAATCGCATGAGCGCATAGCAAGGCAATTATGTGATCACACTGTTTTTGATGTAGATGTTTGTCAATCAATTATTTAAAACATATCATTGCTTGAGTAATAAATATCAATTTCTATTTTAATCAATATTCATTCGTATTTGACATAGACAATTATCTGAGAACTGAATATTAAAGGCTAAAGGCCAAGCAACATATACATACTTAAAACGTTACTATCTTATCATAATTTTCCATCCAAATACTTCTTAGTTAACTACCTTAATATTGATCATTATAAATTATATAGTATTACATTTGAATTGATCAAAGTAAATGTTACTCAATAATATTATGAATGAACAGATTTGAGTAACTTATTATCTGAATATCTTCTTTCTTATAGACAATACCTTGTATTTCATAGACTGAAATCATGAATCAATTGAAGCTAGACCACCATGGAAAACCTGGAAGCACTGGACGGCCATTTCGTTGTAGTATGGAACTCCTCAGCAGTGCACATCCACGATCCCGAACCCCACGAGATCCGAACCCAGGACCTATCAGTCTCGTGTCAAACGCTTAACCAACTGGACCATTGAGCTGGTCGGCATCCAGTGATGTTAACGTCTAACTTCAACCAATCAAAGAAGTTGCGCCACCGCATACCTTGTATTACATAACAACTATTAATATATACAAATATAATCCACGAAATATTTTATTGATTAAATTACTAAACATTTTCAATAAGTAAATAGAATAAACGAATGAATCCATGTAGAACTCTAGTGGAATGATGAACTTTCATTTCGAACAACTAAAAATGTAACTAAATATATTTATAAGTGAAAAATCAATAAAAACGGTTATTTATCTCCTTTTTTTTGGTGTTTACGTTACTATCTCGTGTTTCTATGTTTATTATACAATGAAAAGAAAAAGAAATCTATTTACTATGACATAAATAAACAGATGAAAATACATTTGAAAATATGTGCATCTATTGTTGTGTAAAATGTAAATAGAGAAACCAAAAAAAGATATACAGTATAATGTACTGTTCAATATGTACAATTCGACTTATATACAATGTAATATATATATATATATATATATATATATATATATATATATATATAGAGAGAGAGAGAGAGAGAGAGAGAGAGAAAGAGAGAGAGAAGGAGGGACAGAAAGAGGAAGAGAGAGAGGAATAACATTCATCTAGAATTTAAACGAATTTTTTAGGTTGAATGAAAGAGTAAATAGAAAAGTCACCATTGTTTCATAGTCAAAAAATCAAGTATATAAATATATATAATTATTTATTAAAATCTTCTCGTTTCTGGTTGTTATGCTGATTTGTATAATAACCTAGTATCACTAGATGTATTAGAAACAAATCCATGGTCCACCATGTTATCTGTTTTCTTTCAATTGGAAACATATGATGATAGGCAGAATTAAACTAATTTCAGTAATAAGTGCTGTAATGAAAAAGAAAATGCCATAAGAGAGAATATTATAAATTTCACTGCATATGTATTGTAAATACACAATTGCGGGTTGATTTTAAAGTAAAGCTTTTTTAAACATATTAAGCAACTGATCTGCTCGATACAAAGTGTTCATTGTTTTTTACTGTCTTTATATAACAATAACTAGGAGTAGGTTGGTAGAAAGTTAGGGGTGGCCAGATCAAAACATGGCACGAATTCATGAAGTCATTGATAAGTGAACTGGGTCATGTTTGGTAGGTGTAGACTACCTGGTTGGGATCCCCGAGTCGATAGAAAAGAGTGGTTAGAGATCTTGAATTACATGGTTTAAAAATCATTTGCGATGGTGTAGGTGCAAATGCTCTTTATGTTCTCCCAAATTCTAATCTTCAGGATTCTTTATATCCCTATTTTTTTCTCTTTCCAAATTTATTTCACTGGATTATACTTGTTGAATAACATCTTCACACCCTAATGTTTCTGATTACTGCTTATACTTTTGTTACTTCTACCACTATGCATCTCTGTGCTAATGTGGTATGGCAACTCAAACTGATGTGCGTACGTACGAAGTTCTAAGTTGTTGCTGGCTTTCTGGTCGAATATAACACTTTATAAGTAACAGTTCTAAAAATATTCTACTTAAATAGTACTAGTTAGAATAGATGAGTTTTCTTTTATATTTTATTCAGCAAAATGATTGATTTATGAGCAAATGATAGTTTAAAAGTGCAGTGATTGTCATAACTGGGTAACAGAAGTTCAGATTATTATTATTATTTAAGATATAATCACTTTTTTTCTATCTTTGTTACTTTTACACACTTGAATTTTATCTACTGATCTTGTGATACTGTAGAGTTTTAAGTAGACATATAAAGTGTTTTAAAAAATGTGATAAGGAAGTTTAATTTCCAATTCATGGATCTTTGAATTATAATAAGAGACTAAACTAAACTATAAGATGGTGGTTGGAGGTAGTCAACTGGAAACTTTGGACCTCGGTTTCGTGCCATTTGGCACCCATCAACATAGTGTACTTGAGTCTCTTTAGGAAACTGATGCATCCCTGACGGATTCGATCACGGGTCACTCAGCTTCACAGTCAGAGACGTTACCACTGAGCTATCCGGGCCGCGACTGGCCTATTGTAGTACTGAGCTGTATTTACAATTGATTGATCACAGCGTGGTGATCAATGTCATGTATGTCAGGTCCTTCTTAGTGCACATCGAGGGTGGGTATCGCGAGATCGAATCCGTTAAAGAGCATCAGTTCCCTCAAGACTACAGTTACACCTTGCTGACGAGTGCCGAATAGCAAGAAACCTGGGTCCAAAATTTCCTGTTGACTACCTCCAATCGCCATCTTATCTCAGCATAATGCACTCAATGTCGAGTCACTTAGACTGGTGGCCACATTGTGACTTGATCGATAAGATTCAATCTGTATTAAAAAGGACCTGATCTACGTGAGATTGATCACCACCCAGTGATTAATCGATTGTTCATTGTCAATTATTCTTTATATTTATAATTTAATTATTATTCAATACTGTATGTATGTTTCTATGTGATTTTATGGGACTTTTAAACTGATTCCAACAAACAAACAAACAAAAACCCATTTTTATTAACTTCACTTACTAAACTTTGAACAATTAACCGGTTTATTTTGAATGATTCCATTTTGATTAGTTATCGTTAAATAATTTTCTTTTTTTCCTTTTTCTTTTTCTTCTTTTTCTTTTCTTTCTTTTTCTTCTTTATAAGTATGTTTTAGTTGATTTTGATCATTTAATTCAAAACTATAAAATAATTTAAAACCTAATTCATTTGGTCTAGTGATATGGTCACTTTTAAATATTAATACCATTAAATTCTTTGATGAAATAAAATATTCAGGTTTCATTGGTGTATACAAATTTTGTTGATTATTAGTTATAATTTTATTTTCACAATATTCTATAATTAATGGATCATCATTATGTATTCCATCGATTAATTGAATACGATCACCTAATGATTGATTTTCATTTTCACAGCTAAAAAAAGAGAATATGAAATTAGAAGAGGTTTGGTGGAGATTTTTTTGTAATTTCAATAGTTGAAAACATGAGTCAATTGAAACTAGGCTAACATGAAAAGCCTGGAAGCAGTGGAAGGCCGTTTCGTCCAAGTATGGGGCTCCTCAGCAGTGCGCATCCATGACATCGCCCAGGAGATTCGAATCCAGGAACTATCAGTCTCGCACACTTAACCAATAGGCCACCGAGCTGGCCAACATCCAATGGTGCTAATGTCTAAATTCAACTAATCCACGAAATTGAGCCACCGTATACCATTGTCATCAGTGAGTTTCTTTTATCGCACAACAGACCTGGTTGAACTCTACTGGTCACTGCTTCTCATCAGAACTCCAGGAACTGCCTTCTGGAGACCGTCACCAGTGAGGATACGATGATGAAGTCAGTCACTAGTGAGCAGATGATTATTAGTAGAGAGGGCTCTATGGAGATGCCGGCTCAGTCGTCTAGTGTTTAAGCGCTCGCGCGCGGGGCTGAAAGGTCCTGGGTTCGAGTCTTGCAGGGGGGCGGGATCGTGGATTGGCACTGCTGAGGAGTGCCATGCTAGGACGAAACGGTCGTCTAGTGCTTTCACGTTTTCCATGGTAGTCTAGCTTCAACTGACTCATGATTTCAACTACTGGAATATAAAATTGTTTATAATAAATAGGTGACATAATAAGCCGAAATACAATTGATATCAGAATGAGGTTTTTGTGTATATTATAGTAATTTAATAAGTGTTTTATGAGTTCATTGAAACTAGATCACCATGGAAACCATGAAAGTATTGGACGGCTGTTTTGTTGTATTGTAGGACTCCTCATAATAGCATTATGGAAGATGAAATTTAAACTTAAGTTATTTACAAATTGCGTAAAAAATTAACCCAATGCAATTCATGTTTAGTTTTAAAGGTGACTTTCTGAAAATAAGTTTAAATAATCAGTTATAGTGAGATATTTTCATAATAGTAAATAGTACTAATTTTCATACTTAACATATACTGGTCCAAAATTGAAGAGAAAATGTTTATATCTACATACATCAATTTGTTATTTCATTCATACCATAAAAGATATTCCAATGAAACTTAATTACCTACGTTAAAACGATCAAATTTGACTACCTACAGCACAATGATATTTTATGTTTATGTAATATGTAATTATTGCCAAGAATACTGATAAGTTTATTAATGTATTCATAAAATCACTGTATTATATTTTTATACCCCAGTATTTTCTTAAATTTCACACATGTAGCTGATTATAACGCAATTATCAGTAGAGGGTTGTGAGGATTGTTGAGTTTTAATTGAGATCATAAATCAACTAATGTTAAACCACCATTGAAAATTTGGAAGAGATTGAAGGCCGTTCCATCCTGGCATGCGACTCCTTAGAGGTGTAAATAGAAGATCCAGCATGCAGGATTCGAATCCGGACACATTCGGTCGCGTGTGCAAATGGCTAACATCTAGATCACTGAGCTGGCATCCATTGATGTTAATGTCTAACAGGAAGTTTCCAATGTTGGTCTTACACTGATGATTTCATAAACTCATTTGGAACTAAACATTATTTACAACCATATACTGATACTTATCGTGTGCTCACTAGTGACTAGATTCTTGTGAGAAACCATAACCAGTGTAGTTCATTCGTGTTCGGTGTGAGGCAGTCATCCACCGAAGACAATCTCATAGATTGATTGAAGTTAGACACTAACATTATTGGAATTGTGGATCCGCAATTTTGAGTTGTCCCATACTAGGAAGAAACGGCCATCCAGTGCTTCCAGGTTTTTAATGATGGTATAACATTGAACGGCTCGTGATTTCTATTATAACATGATTACTGATGGGACTAAAAAATTATTTAGTTTAGTTTTACTATAACAATGAAACATTTAAATACCAAAAAATCGTGGGAAAAAAAATGAAAAATTAATTTTTGTTTTTCCTTTGAAGCCAATATTTTTTGTATCAGAAGGGGTTTAGTGGATGTTATAGTAATTTTAATAGTTTAGATCATGAGTCAATTGAAGCTAGACCACCACGAGAGACCTGGAGGGGTCGTTTCATCTTATTACGGGACTCATCAGAAGTGCGCGCACACGATCCCGCCATGCGAGATTCGAACCTAGGACCTATCATTATTTTTTACCCAAAATATTACATTAATTGAAAACTCATTATTCTCAAATTCGAAACTTGATTCTTTGACCAGTTTTCTCAATGGACGATAGCTAGCGTGTTGTAAATTTTTAATTTCATAAATTAAATATGCAACTGTTAACTGAAATCATTTACATGATAAAATTTTGTGTTGGAGAATGCGTCCCACAGCTCGTATTGTACAATAAATCACTCAAATTTAACAATAGAATTAATCCACAGATTCCGTATGAGGTTCATTCATAAGGGACAATATCTTAACCATTATTTTTTCCACCTAACAGTTATAAGACCGTCCCTCTCTAAAAAGATCATTTAGCGTACATTTTAAGATTACTTTAGTGTAACCATGTCGTTAACAGTGTAATCTACAATTAAGAGTTTGTGATATGATATTCTTCACGTGGTTACTAACCATGAATTGATCGATTCATCTTGACTTTCATTTGCATTCAAAGGAGTTCATAGGTTACATGATAGTATATTGTTTGTTTAGAATAACAATGCTTTTTATCTAACACGTTAGTATGATGATGATAATGCCCATATACGTGAAAGTTTCCACATCTTCCAGAGCTTCCTCAACAAGTGTGATTGGGTTAAATGGGTAGGGCATACGTTGTGGAAATTATCAAACTGCATCATAAAGCAAGTGCTAACTTGGAATCATGAAAGGAAACGAAAAAGAGGGGAATCAAACGATACACTGAGTCGAGAATTGGAGGCAGATATCGAAAGGATGAATAGCAACTGAAAACATTTAAAAAGGATCGCTTAGGACAGAGTTCAATGAAAAATGCAGTTTGAAAGCCTATACTCCTCCTTTGGAGGTAAGTTTCAACTTTCAAAAAAATGTTTTAAATAAACGTTCAAACTTCATATCAATAATGATGTACTTACCTGTTTGAATTTCCAAGTTCTAAAAATAAAAATTTAACTAAAATTATCTCTGTAGGTTGACCTATAAAAGTATACATTGTTATAATTGAAGGTGGATAAGGTTCCGGATATTGAGGTGAATGAATTATTCCTTGAGTACGATTTACTGGACCTTTTGAAACAATCAATTTTCTTTGTACATATTTTGATTTCATTTCATTATTGAATTGATTAGAATATTGAAAGTTCATAAAATCTGGATCCGATGAATATTCATCTGAAATAAATAAATAAATTTATATCCTCTTGTTGTTCATTAATAAGTTTTCTTTTATTTGGTATAGCTTGATATGTTTCTTTGTTTAATCATGTAATATCTATTTAGACTAATATATATCATTACAAAGGTTTGACTTAATCATTTCGAATAAATTGAGCATTGGGTCGATTGTTATAAATAAAGATAATATATTTGTAATATCCTAATGAGTAGAAAAATTAAGTTTTCTAATGTTTCGTAACTTAGTGTAAGCTATTTCTTCAGAGAATAACTCATCAAAATTAATCCAAATTTAAATAGTACAACGGAACAATGCAAGAATATTATGTGATCAATAAAACAAAACAGGTCTGAACAATTTAAACTTGGATTAATTTTGATTTGGTCATTAATTTTCTGAAGAAAAGTCCCAAGATATCAGAAAATCTAATTTGTCTACTCATTGGGATATTACAAATATAATATTTATTTAGATCTAAATCAATGTAAGGGATTTCAAATGCTTATTAAATTCCATTCACAAGTCCCATTTCAAATGTTTTATAACTTGTGTCTTTTTACCCTATTAATACATAACGTAATAACACCACCAATTAGAGAACGGTGACTTATCGATCGGATCAATGACGTTTAAACCCGTACGAAAAATCTAAAGTCTTTATGGGTCGTTCTTCCTGCCTAGACCTACACCCGTTGAGCCCAGAACACCAACTTCAGTCTCTGCGATATGAATCATGTGATTCAAACATACTGGGTTTATATACAAACCAAACAGACCATATCGCACCACAAAACAACATTTGTACAAGATCTAGCCAAAAGTGACTGTGAATAAGGTAGACTGTAATAGATAGACTGGGCAGAACTCGAGAACGGTAAATTGTATAATAATAGTTTATGGGTCAAAATAAAGATTTTATTAAGAGGAGCATGAATATCCATAGTTTAGCTACTTTATAATTATACAGTAAAAATAGCTCTCAAAAGTTACCATTCATAATTCTCGTACAGATATAACAAATAGTTATACAATGAAGCATAATTTCAAATTTATCATTGATCATATTCATTGTGCATTTACAATATAATTTGTAAGAATGAAATATGGAGTGATGGTTTTTTTGATAACGTTGATTCCATGGTTGTGAAGCTTGTCTTTCGTTTTGTGTCAGGAGCTGGAATAGCTCCGGGGTGCCCAAACCGGAGCAGGTGGATTTCTTGGGGATCCACACCAGGAGCCTCTGACTTAAAGGTCTGATTAACAAGGTAGTGAAGCAACATTAGGAGATGCAGTCCCATAATAGCCGGTGACAAATGATTTGTTCATACGCTATTTGTCACTTCAGAATTTTAGAACCCATATGTACCATTTGTTTGGAATCAGGGTTATCTAACTCCTCTAGGTGGACTCTCCATCTTCATCAGCCCGGTTAAGGCGCCGGATATTCGCTTAACGTAAACAACAGTTGTGCTGCAAGAAAGCAGTGAGTAGGTCTTCGCAGGCATTGATCGTATGCACATGGCCACTTGAGAGCATTTCCAGTGGCAGATCTGACTGTCTTCACTCTTGGTCGTACCAGGGCATTTTAGGTCACATTTAAATTTAATTAACACCATTTTCATAAGTACCGTCGTAAAGTAATAATTAACCTGTTTTATTAGGTCTGAAATTTCATAAGTAGATATTGTTGGTGAAAGTTAGTGAAATATTTAGAAATATATTGAATCTTTCGTAGAATTTAGAGATTTCAAGTAAATACCACCACTAATGATCTAGTGAACAGGATTACTGGGAGATGATAAACGTTTGATATACAAACAGATACTGATATAGGCTTTCTATCAGTTTTTATCTACAATATCCAAAGCATATTTAGATGCAAAAATAATACAAAAAATATATTATTCAGTTACCTTCATGAGATTGCATATTTCTTGTGGATGTAAATCCAGCATCTGCAAAAAATAGTCTGGACTTATTGGTATTTGAAAGATTTTCTAATTTATCTTGAGTATTTCTAGAATTTTGATATTTTTCTTCATGTTCATTAGTTTCACCGCCTTGATCATCTTCTTCAAGAAATGGAGATGGTAAAACTTGAGATTCATGAACAAATTCATAAGTTCCATGAAAACCTTGACCTTGATAGAAAGGACTACGACTGATAAAATCCAATCTTAATATAGGAGTATGTGAAACAAGTTGTATATTCATTAGATTAGTACAAAGATATGCCAATGTTCTCGATTTATTCATGTACATCTCAGATATGGAAATAAAATCATTTTGCACAGGTATAGAATTTCTTGTACTGCATCTACTTGTTAGAAAGGAGAAAAGTTTATTAATTTATCTATGTTGCCATGCCAGATACACAAATCTACAGCCTAGTTCATAGACTATGATGGCTCTAATTATCTGATTTACTTATATCTCATAGAACAATAACTATTGTAGTGCTTTTGAAGCTTAAGAAAACCTAATATACATTTATAAGCAAAGATGGGTAATGGACGTCAGTGGAATTGAGAACACGGGTTTCGTTCAATTCAATACTCTTCAATTGGATGTGCTTGTATCTCAGAGTTGATGTTTACTCTATGAATCGATCCCAGTACCTTAAGCTTCAGACGCCATCACGTTATCCACTTAGCTACTGATTCCTGATAGTCTCTTACTTGTGCAATAGGGTGAAGTTTAAATTTAATTAGTGTTGTTATCTTGTATCTCACTGCTAGCCGCTATCCATCTTAGCTTATTAAGCTTGTGACCTAAGGTAATATAGAGGAAGTCCGTGCAGAATGCAGATATGCCAACAAGAGACTGATCAACGGCAGTCCTAAACAACAATGGGAAGATACAAGCTAAAAACACTAAGTGAATCTAATATACATTTGTTATTATAATTTTAGTAAAACATCGAGTTGGGTTACATTAAAGTTTAGTAAAATGGGAATAGAATTTTCAAGAAATTTATGAATTATCGATTGCGGTTTGTGAAAACACTGAATTAGATAAAATAGCGATTTGTAAGTAGGTCAAGTATTTCAGTGAAAGAGGATAAAAATGTGTGATGTAGGGTAAGATCAATTGCTAAGATCATTTTTCAATCAGTTTTGTAAACTGAGAACAAACATTTAGAGAATTAGATCCTTTTTTCATTGATTTTACGCTTCTGCAACTGCCTAGTCTTAAATTAAATGAGTTGTATCAAGGTGTAGACTGTTCGAATACAGGAAATCCATTATATATAGCTATGAAATATAAATTCTCCTTTTAGTTCTGTAAATTTTACCTAAGCTAACCCTGTGAGTTAATGGGGTTAATAAAAGGTAAACACTATTTAATTTGGACATTAATTAGACAAAATGTATGAGTGTAACATGGAGTCAAGCTTCTCAATTTACTTAATTTTACTAAACATGACTCAACATTGTTAATAATACCGATTAGAACAAGCTAAAAACAGATAACGAATACAGTAGGTGGTAAGTAAACATATATGCACATAAGCTTAGATAAAAGTAATCAGTTTTACAAGTGAATAACTGATAAAGCTAAATATGTATATTCGTATTGACTCAAAAATATAACAATGATTTATTTGTCGAAAAGTTTTAATAAAGCACATAGATATTATGAAGAATCTACATACGACTAAACCATCCAGCACAGAGAACAAAACTCCATCAAAATCATCCACCTGAGCTACAAATCTTCTCCATCATTTTAATCTATACAAGCTCTATAAAATATCATATACTTTGGTACTTAATTCAAAAAGTTGAGAAAACTTGTTTATCATGGAGATTTCATTTTAATAAAATCATTAAATGTATACAGTTTGGATGATTCCTAACCATGCTAACTTTAGAAAAAAAGGTATTTGAAGTTAAGAAAGTTGTGGGAAACGATTAGACTTGAGAGGCAAGTATATTTTTACAATTTAACAATGGAATTCATGAGTATATTGAAGCTTGACTACCATAGAAAACCTGGGAGCACTGGACGACCGTTTCATTCTAGTATGGTACTCCTCAGCCGTAAGCATCCACGATCCCGCCCAAAAGGATTTGAATCCAGAACCTATCAGTCTCACGCGTAAACGTTTAACCACTAGACCAGTGAGCCGGTAAGCATCCAACGGTGTTAATGTCTAACTTTAACCAATCCCACTAATTGTATTCACTGTATGATTAAAACATTCATTCAGTAATCTTACCTCGTGAACTATTAAAATACGTTTTATAATTTAAAGAAAGTTTGGCGTGAAATACAGTTTCACAGCAAAGATGAATAATGGATAGCAGTGAAATCCAAAACATGCGTTTTGTCTTATTTGGGACTCGATTCCCAGAGTGAACATCAACTCTGCGATGCAGATGCATCCAGCTGACGTATCCCGAATAGGACAAAACGCGCGTTTTGGATTCCACCGCTAGCCACTATTCATCTTTGCTTAAAACGTTTGTGATTTAAGACAATATCGTGGCAATCCGCATAGAATGTACATATACCAACAAGCAGACAATACCAAGTGGACAGTCATATAGGTTAAATCTCCATGGATACAATTTGAATGAATTTCTTATTTATCCAGAAAAAAATTTTCGTTTCCTTAAATAATCGAATCAAAAATTAAATCATGTTAAAACTCATTAATATTAAAAATCAGCATTTTGTTGGTTACATAATTGATTTATAGGATTGTCAATAAGTTAAAAATATGATTTCTTCAAAAACCAAGAAAAAAAAGTTAGTTTCATCATGAAAAACTGCTATTTATAATGTTAGACATTTTGGTAATTGACTTTATATATTTTCAATTGTTGAAATCATTAGTCAATTAAAGCTAGATCACCATGGAAAGTCTGGAAGCACTGAACGGCCATTCTGTCCTATTGTGGGACTCCTTAGCAGTGTCAGATCAGTGGTCTAGTGGTTAAGCGCTCACACGCCAGGCGGGGTCTTGGATGCTCACTGTTGAGGATTCCCACACTAAGACAAAACGGTCGTCCAGTGCTTCCAGGTTTTCTATGGTGGTCTAGCTTCAATTGACTCATGAATTCAACTATAAAATTACTAAAATCTCTACAAAACCTCTTCTGGTAAAATTGTTTGGTTAAAGTACTAGTTCTGTGAGAAAATGTGAACAATGAATAACTAACATGATGTAAAGGAGGGATTACAATGCTAGATTACGTAATAAGAATAATAACAATAGACTTAATGAGTCAGCAACGAATTATAAGGTGAATGTAGTAAGAAGACTAAAACGTATTTGCTACAACACTTATAGGTAATTAAAGGTAATAGGACTGTGAAATAAATGAAATGATATTATGAGTAATTATGGATAAAATAATGAGAATATGAGACATAATTAAAAGGAGGAATGCAGTAATAATAATTATAATTAAGGCCAAGGTAACGATAACAAGCGGACGTACTTCTTTTGTAAGCATAGCTCTGGCTTGAGCTCATAGATGGTAAGAGCTTTCGCTATTTTTAGGAGTTGGATACTAAAAAATCTAGGTAGATTTGGACGAATCATGTATACAACCTTAGAATCAAACCGTGGATCAGTAGAATTTTTACACTTAATTAGATGTTCAAGTATGGAACTCCTGACTGCCTTCGTTTTACTCTTGTACACACTGGGACATGTTCCGGTATCTGAGTTGAATGGGAGCGCTGGATACGGCCAACGTACCTTGCTCCATAAGAGCAGGTAAACTGATGGATGCACATGGAGGCGAGCAGACGGGGAAGCCTATCTTTTATGAATACATAAAACAAGTTCCTAGTAGCGAATGTCATTCCTAGTTTTGTTCTTTTTATCGTTGTCATTCAAAGATTTTCGATTACATCAGATGTTCGATCACCTTTAAATTCCAAAATTATATAAAGGCTTTTCTTTGGAACGGAACAACCGGATTCCTTGTCACAACTACATTTTTCCATAGCTGAAGCTCCTACCATCCATGAGCTCAGGCCAGAGCTATGCGTAAAAAAGAAGTACCTCATATCGTTATCGTTACCTTGACCTTAATTATTATTATTATTATTATTATTATTATTACTACATTCCTCCCTTTACGTCCATTCTATAACTATCAGTTGGTAGATTTTCTGTTATTGTTTATCCACATTATGCCATTATGAAGTTGATTTATTCATTCCATTTTTATATGGAATAAATTTCACGTTTGACCTTTTTTGAATAGTTCTTTGGACGATAACAGATTCATATCAGAAGGAGTATCGTAGATATTAAAGTAATTTTAGTAGTTGCGATCATGAGTCGATTGAAGCTAGAGCACTATGGAAAACCTGGAAGCACTGAACGGCCGTTTCGTCCCATTTCGGGACTCCTCAGATTTTTTATAAACATCTCACAAATCAAGTGGAATTTCTACAATAAATAAAGTTCATTCATCAGTCTTTTAATCATTTGTAAAACGTAAGCATTTTTATGGAAGTGTAATGAGCAATGATTGTTTCATCTAACTCATTATGAAGCACAAACTGAAATTTTCACTTTATCATCAAAATGATAATTGAACAAAAGAATTTCAATCTTAATAAACATTCAAGCCATAAACATAATGAAATGATTAATTAAATGAATAACTCTAACATACAACTTAATAATGTTCCTGCGTGACTAAATGTATTTTCATTGAAAACTTACATTTTAAACATGTATTATGGTGATAACATAAGAAAATATTTCTACTCGAAAGGTACTTAATACTTTCATTCATTTTACATTGCTTGTTTGATTCTTCCCAGTCCACTGTTAGCCACTATAAATATGTGCTTATAATGCTTGTAAATTAAGACAATATCGAGGCAATCCTTACAGAATGTACATATGTCAATATGAGATTGATCAATTGCAGTTCCAAATATCTATGGGAAGATTCAAACAAACAATATGAAAGTGAACTAAAATTTCACTCTATTGTACAATCTAGTAGCTATTAGAACTCAGTAACTAAGTGAATAACATGATGGCATTTTAAGCGAACGGTATTCGGTTCGAGTCATGGAATGAATACCAACTCTAAAATATGGATGCATCGGGCTGACGAATCCTAACTAGAACGAAACGCTTGTCCTGGACTACACCTCTAACTTTCATTCATCTTCTCTTAGAATGCTTGTGACTTAAGACATTATCGAGACAATCCATACAGGATGTACCTATGCCTAAAAGAGATTGATCTATTTCAGTCCTAACACATCAATCAAATGATTTAAAGAAATAATTACAATTATCTATCACATAAAGAAACTATTATGTTACTAACCTTTCTATATTATTTAAATTATCTTCATTGGTCATTGATTTTAATCGAATTGAATGAAATGTTAATAAAATTCGTTGATTATTATTAGCTATAAAAATGAATTGACATTTAATATTTGGTGGATAATTACTTGGATAAAATGGTGAAAAAAAATGTCCATATTTAATTGTATTATTTATTAAATTATTATAATGAAATTCATAATCACATAATGTATTTTCTTTATGTTTTCCATTATTTTCATAATTACCTTAATTAAAAATAAAAACAAGATAAAAAATAAAAATAAAAAAATAAAAAGTAGAAAAAAATAGAAAAAAGAAAAAAAGAAAAAAAATAGAAAAAAATAAAAAAAAGAAATTCTCTTTTTGAGTTAAAAATTAAATTTATAAAATAATAGATTTAAACAATAGAAAACTATGATTATTTTATTTGATAAAGCTTGACAGTTTTGTATTATATAATGAGTATGCGGGAATTTCCCTTTTATATTTAAGAAAATGCTTTTTTTTTAAATAAATTAAAATCATTTTGTGATTAGAAAATTATTTACGTAATAAAAATCGATTTATTATTATTATTATTTAATGGTTTATTGATTTTATATATATGAAGTCGGTAAAAGCTATAATGATTAGATGAGGGGTATTTTTGTGAAGATTTTAGTAAATTCAGTAGTTGGGTTCATGAGTTAATTAAAGCTAGACAGATATAGAAAACTTGGATGGATTGGATGTCTATTTCGTCCTGTTGTTGGACTTCTAAGCGATGCGCATCCATGAACCCTTCCTAGCTGATTAGAATCCAGCGTGCGAACACATAACCACTAGACCACTGAGCTGGCCTTCATCCAATGGTGTTAATGTCTAACTTCAACTAATCCATGAAATTGAGTCACACATCTAGCATTGTCATCAGTGAGTCACTATCTCACAATAGAACCGGTTGAACTCTACTGTTCACTGCCTCTCACTAGGACTCCAGGATATACCTTTTGGAGCCATTCACTGGTGAGCATATGTTGATTCATATCAGAAGGGGTTTTGTGTAGATTAAAGTAATTTCGATATTTGAGATTATGAGTTAATTGGATGCCAACTCAGTGGTCTAGTGGTTAAGCGCTTACATGCGAGACTGATAGGTCCTTTGGTTGAATCTAGCGAGGCGAGGTCGTGAATGCGCACTGATGAGGAATCCTACAATACAACGAAACTACCATCCCGTGCTTCCACGTTTTCCATGCTGGTCTAGCTTGAATTGACTCATGATCTCAACTATTGAAATTACTACAATCTCCACAAAATCCCTTCTGATACTTATTTTTATTACTCTTATTATTATTATTATTATTATTATTATTATTATTATTATTATTATTATTATTATCCTTGTCTCCTCTTGCCCCCATTTCTAGTCTAGTTGATCTTTTACTTTTATATATAAATGTTCTTAACAAGTATATGTGTGATCAGATTGTTCGAAATATATTGCGCTAATATATCATGATATGTTTCTGATAATCATCGTCTTCTTATTTACATTATCGAAATGTATCAAAAAAAGGGACTAATTCCTTTATTAATGTTCTTTTAACACATTAAACAAGGTAATACATTACAAGACTTACTTTTTAAATCAAATGTAAATTGACCAATAAATCCCATTTGTTGATGATATTTGATACCAGGAATTTTAGATGCTGTATGAAATATTAATAATAATATAGAACTAATTGAATAAAAATCATTTTGTGGAAAATCATTTAAATCACCGCATAATCTATAATCCGCCGGTCTAGAATAATTTATTGAAGAGATATTCATAAGATTAGAATGTTTTGTCATTTGATTATTTGATTCAATTGTAGTAAACATATCTAAGTAATCTATACATCTGAATTAAAAAAAGAAAACAATAAAAAGGATAGAGCATATATATAGATAGATACTTGGAAATGTTACTTATTACATAATCTACATTAGTTGTCATGTGAAAGTTACGTCATTGAAAGGTTACAAGTTAAATGGCATCATTTTATAAGTCAGATACATAAGAAAGTGTAAAGGTAATAATACAATCTTTGTTTTGTATGCCAGATGAAATGAAGTGAAATGTTAAGAAAGAATTATTTAGTGAGACTGTGGTGTGTGCTACTTATATTCATATAAGTAGTATATGACGCGAGTCAGGAGTGTAATGTCTGGCAGCAGAAGATGGGGGAAGATCAAGAAAGCAAGAGTGGGAATAGAATGCAATTTGTATAAAAATGCAAAGACAATGAAGTCTGTGACATTTTGAAACAATTGATGGATATTTGCAAATTAACGATTTAATATATGGTTTTCATATTTTATTGAAATGCTCTGTAATTTTGTTTTAAATACATACGATTGTCCTCACCCGTGTTCTGTTCACTACAAGACTATTAACAAGTGATGGGTTTAATAATAATAAAAAACAACACTTAACTGGTGGTTTCATGATCTAATAAATTGATCATTAGTAATGTGAAAACATGAAAAAGCCGATGACCTTGAGGACGTTTCAGAAGATAATCATTGAAACCCGCTTATTTGGGAATTCTGGAATAATTTTCAGTATCTTATACTTCAGTTATTTGCTATTGATATTTACTTATACAAACAAATTATGAAAAATAATTTCACTCAAGGTCTATATCTGAGGTGCAAAATATGATTATCATAGTTAAATCCAAATTTATAATGAATACGCGTGCTTGAGGGCAGTTGTCATTTACTGGGTGAACATACTGTGAAAAGACATTTCTTCTTGTAGGATCTGAAGAAGAAAACTATGATCTTGACGACTTGAAAAATTGATCACAAGAACTAAGTAACAACTACTTGTGGTCAGTTACATCTGACCTTTTTAATTGTGAGTGTTTGATTTACTATCACCTTACTTCAAAAAGTCTTACCAACAAAGCTTGAGCTCGGTGGGAAAAGGTGAAGTATGGAAATTTTAGGGACTACCTTTAAAAACTATTTCCCTTCTTTATGACATGGTAACACAACTATATATCTAAGGTTAACACCTTGATGCTGTCACAATTCTGTATAGTCAGATATACAACTTCACCTGTAAAGCTTAGGTTGTTGCTTTTAGTCTTACAGTTAACCGACTGACTTTTCTGGCATTACAGATTATACGTGTTCCAGCCGAGATAACTTGATTAGGTCATTGCGACAAGCAATCATGGCCACACTGTTAAGGTAGGAGCTAAGGTCCAGAAAATGCGAATATACTCATACAAATATAATAGACAAAATAATATTCATTTACATCGACAGAACATTTCATGATCCTACAGTTTATCAACCTCAACAAAAAAATTCGAGTGTACTCTGAAATCTATTTTCAACGTACAAGTTTTATTAACATAAACCTTCTATTATGATACTGGAATAATGTTTAGACCACATATAGTTGCCGTTTGACCCGTCATTCATCTAAGAAATTGAAACATTCCACATATAATACGAAACAAATATCATGTAGGATGACGAAATTAAAGATAAAGATTACCATGATAGACGACTATATTGCTCATTATTCCGTTTGATAAAGAATAAAACTCATCAATAGATTTCATGAACAATGTCTTAAAGCTTACCCTGAACATTTTTAAGCAGTTAATTAAAATCCACTATGTTGAATCAGTGGGTAAGCAGTTTGCACTATATGTATGGAGAACTACTACAACCATCATCAAAAAGGTATAAACAGTTGTCTATGCAAAATAATGCATATCCGTTGGCTGGATACCATCAGTAACAGGCTACTTCGACAGTGAACTAGGCAGCTTCCAGATAAAAAGGAAATTAGGAAAAACATCGGAAGTGGATAAGACATACATGGTGGAAACCATAAGATTGCATCACGAGTCAAGCCCAAACTCGTGATCCTCAAGGACAAATGAAAAGAGGCAGACCAAGAAAGGTATGTCACGCTATAATTAGAGACAGACTTCCAATAAAATGAATGGATGTTGGAAGCAACTGGAAATCAGAGGTCAGGACAAAGTTGGCTGAAGAATCATGGTCGATGGTCTATGCTCCAAGAGAGGTAGCAAAATTAAGTAAGTAATACTGTTGATTTGTTGTTTCAAATGATTTATTCAGCATTTGAATTGCTGTATACTCAGATAAGAATATTAACTAAATTTTTGAGATAACATTTATAGTTATCATTCAATACAGTTAGAATAAGTTGCATTTATTGATGACCCAAATCAATCAGACATAGGATAAATGAGAAAAGATGCTGACGAGGATATCCTATTTATCAACACGTGATTTCACTTTCTAATGAAATAGTGGTTAGGCGTCTGCTCGCGAGACCGGTTGGTCCTGGTCTCGAATCTCACAAGGTGGGATCGTAGGTGTGCACTCTTGTTGAGGCGCACACTAGTACGAAACAGCCGTCCAGTGATTTTAGGTTTTCCATGTTAGTTTAGCTTCAGTTGGCTCATGAACTCAACTATTAAATTACTATAATATACACAAAAACCCTTTTCTGAGAAACAAACATATTTTAATGATTGTCCATGTGACTTTATTTCATGATAGTTATATGTTCATGTTTATAAAGGAGTTGTTTATATATCCTTAATTTGGTTTGACCAATAAGCATTTCCAACTAACACTGGGTTTTCTCAATCTACATTTTACTCATTTTTCATTAGAGGAAGTTCGTGTAACAAATTATAACTATCGTACTACTCTGTTACATTGAAGAGTGATTCCCGTTAATTGAACCAAGGTTAGCAAAGGAAACTCTGTACCTGCTTCTTACCAATGACACAAATCTCACAAAGTATACGAAGCTTCAAGGTCAAAGTCTACTAAAACTCATCGGTTTATGCCTAACAACATATTTTCAATTCAAAAACAAAATCTACGAACAAATCAAAGGGACATCGATAGGATCACCAATATCAGGACTGATCGCAGAAGTAGTGATGCAGAGACTAGAAGCCTCGATATTATCAGTGACCAAGCCAAAAATTTGGATTCGCTTTGTGGACGACACATTCATCATCGTCAAAAAGGATTATCTGGAAAACACGTACAAGCTAATCAGCAACATCAAGTCCATAATGGAACAGGAGTAAAACAAAAAACTATCATTCATGAATATATTGATCACTAGAACCGACACAGGAAAACTGGAAACTAATGTTAATAGGAAGCCGACCCACACTGATCAAATTCTTAACTACAATAGCAACAACCTAAGGGCTCACAAAAGCAACAGCGTACACACTTTGTTCAAGAAGGCAAATAAACATTACAGCACACTGACATCACGAAAAAATGAAGAAAACTACCTAAAGATCATCTTTCAAAAGAACAATCACTCAATCAACTTCATCAAAAAAAAAATACCAGCCTCATGAATCATCACAAACAAAGTCAAGTACAGAAATCAACAAATGGATCACCCCACCATACATAAAATGCATATCAGAAATCATAACGAAACGGCTGAAGACCATCAGTACTAAACTACCCATTAAAATGTTTAATGATTAGGGGATTAAAATAAAAATACAAAAAACATAAAGCAACACAACAATTTTGAACACTTACTTTTTCTCAATTGGTTTCCTTAAATTGAATGTTGTAAATGTAATTTTAACTAGTTCATTAGATAAACCATGAAAATAATACAATAAACAATTTAATTCATATTGATAATTTTTTGGATAATTCGGTGTTTTAAATATACCCGATTTATACATTGTACTATCAAATAGAAAGCATCGACAATCTAAAATAATGAAACAAATATTATTATTATTATTAGAAATAGTAGTAGTAGTGTGATGTGTGCTACTTATATTGACATAAGTAGTATATGATGTTAATCGTGAACGGAAAGTCTGGCAGTAGAGAGATAAGAGGTTCGAACAGTAAAGAATGGAACCAGGATGCAATTTGTATGATAATGCAAGAACAATGAAGTCTGAGTCTCTGTGAGACAATCGATGGACATTTTGCAAATTAAGCATTTACTTTATGTTTGTTAGATTTTATTAACAAGTCCTGTAATTTTGTGTTGAATACATTCGATTGTCCCCACCCGTGTTTGCGTTCACTACAGTAGTATTAGGGGTAGTAGTAGTGTGGTGTGGGTTACTTATATGCACACAAGTAGTATGTAACAGTGGTCAAGCACAGAATGTATTTCAGTAGAATGTCGATGAGGAAAGAACAGGAACGGAACGCAATTGGTATGAAAACACATGAACAATGAAATTTAAGACAATGGATTGATGTTTGCAACAGGAACAGTGAAATTTGAGATGATGGATTGATAATTTGTAAATTAACGATTTACCATATGATTCTCAGATTTTATAGAGAGGCTCTGTTAAATTTAGTGTAAAATACATTCGATTGTCCCCACTGGTATTCTGACCTCTACAGTAGTAGTAGGGGTAGTAGTGTCGTGCATGCTACATTATATTGGCATAAGTAGTATATAACGCAAGTCAAGAATGTAATGTCTGACAGCAGATGATTAGGAAGATCAAAAAAGGAAGATTGGGAATAGAAAGCAATTAGTATAGAAATACAAGAACAAGGAAGTCCGAGACAATTATTGAACATTTTGCAAATTAAGTATTATAGTATGGTTTTTCAATTTTACCAAGTAACTCGGTAATTTCGTGCTAAATATAATTCGGTTGTCCTCACCTGTGTTCTCCTTCACATTACAGTAGTAGTAGTAGTAGTAGTGGTTATAAGTAAATAGCGATTTTTATTTGAACGGAATTTGTTTTAAGAAACTTGAGAAAAAAAGTATATATAACTATCTTACCATTACACTTTCGCCTATATATGCACATATATATGTCTTGCCATTAAGCTACTTCTTATCTGAACCTTCTCTTCACACATTCACTTATACATGATATCTATTAAACTAAACTATTTGTATTCATTTAAGTGTTTTTATTATGAAAATCATAAAATTTTTGCATTCTTTCTTATGGGATAACTTTTCTATGAAACTATTCACTAATCATTAGTTCAATGAAATAAGAAGCAAAACCAAATGAAGCAAATCGATCATTTTTCTTTAGATAAAAAAAAAGAAAATTTAAGAAAATATTGAAATTTCAGTTATTTAATGATTAAAGAAACTGATTTCATGAAGAAGGATTTATATGTGGCTTATTGAATATATTGCGTTACAAGACAAGGCCTCACATGGAATCCTTGAAACCGAAGGAAAAGGGGAAGATAAAAGAACATATTATGTCAAGAAATGGAGACAGATATGAGGAGAATGAATAACAATTGGATAGAACTAGAAAGGAAGGCTCAGGAAAGAGTGGGTTGTAGAATGCTGGTCGGCGGTGTATGCTCTATTGGTAGTTACAGGTGTAAGTCAGTAAGTAAGTAAGAATTGAACACATTATCTATGGCATTCGGATGATATTATATGACTATTCAAACTTGGAATCTAGTAAATGTGTCCTAGAGACTATGACTCTCAACAATTATCGTTGATCAATGAATTATATATCGTATAAATTATATGTTTACATATAATTTACAAGAAAAAACAGTAGAGTTGTATAGATAATAGGTATCATTATAATGGCTTGACATGATATAGTCACATAAGTTGATCATTTGGTAGATTGTTAATTGACTCACGAACTCAACTATTAAATTACTATAGTACCTACAAAAAACTGTTAGTAAGACTGTTAGTAATAAAAGTAATGGTACATCTGTCATATCGGAATATATATATATATATATATATATATATATATATATATATATATATATATATGTATATATAAACAGTCAACAGGTAATATGCATAATTTTACTATTACTTTCATTTCCTCAGTGTAATCGTCATCAGCAGATTGATAAATGGACATATATATAATTTACGTTTAAAACTTGATATTTCCACATTTATATGTGATCCGGGCAGTATCACAGCCCTCACGCAAATCAAATGAGATTTGTATGGCGCATATGCATCTGGTGCCATCTTGTACTAATATCTATGTGTTCAAATAAATAAATAAATTTTAGTGTTGTATATGCAATCCTATTGAAATTCTGAAGGGATTATATTCTCTGAGGTGAGTAGTTTAAATTAGAACCATTCTGTTTTTTTTGTATAATACAATTAACAGACTCGGTGAGACCATAATTTATGGACGAACTAATCACAATTGGAGTAACGAGTCATGAATTTTCGCGCGAAATTCATCCATACATTTGGCTTATTAGAGTTTTGGGATTATAGCTGATGTCAGTTCGTGATGAAAACCCTAAATCTAATTTTTAATCCTAACTATCAACTGTAAATGATAATTCTAACTGCTTTATAACCCTTATTTAGTCTTAATCAGTAAGTGTCCTCTATCAAGGTCACTTTAGTGTCCTTCAAAGGTTGTCCATAAATAATAGTTTTTGATGGAGTTTTGTTCTCTGAGCTGGATGGAGAACAAAACTCCATCAAAATCATCCACCTGTGCTACAAATCTTCCCCACCATCTTATAAATTATAGTCTCATGAACAGACTTTTTTTATATATTTCCAGATAATATTCTCTGAAGTGATAATGGTATATCCATAAACAACTCTCCATCTCATAGAATGTCATATCGTTATCTTGATGACTTGAAAAATCCTTCATCTTACTTACATGACGATCTACATTTTTTCTGAAAATTAATTAATTAGAGTTTTAGATGAATGATATTTCCTTTAGTTTTGACTCAGTTCGTTCACGACAGTATGTTGAGACAAATCAACGTGAACATCTATCTGATCATTTTAAGAAAAGATCAGTTTCTAAAATAATGCATAAAATATAATGTACAGCATACAGGTTGGTTTCGTTTCACAAATTTCAAAAGTAATAGTGTAAGTTGCTGACAAGTACGATTATTTGACTTTATGTCACTCCTTTCATCAATACAAGTACATAGAATTGAATTATAAGCAGATGTGTATGATGGCTAGAAGTGAAATCTAAAACATTCGTTTCTTTCTGTTTGAGATTCATCGTCTGATATGATCTAACGAAACATTTAGACAATCCGCATATGATGTACATATGCCAAAAAGAAACTGATCAACTGAAGTTTTAAACATCAATGTGAAGATTCAAATAACCCATACAAATGGATAGAAACAAATGGCCTAATGAAATTACATACTTATTATTATTATTAAAATTGAACATTTAATTGCATATTTTGATAATGGACTACAGAAGAACAGAAACTGATTGTTCCGTACAAGTAAACAACTTTTAATAGGTGTCGTAAAAATAAACACTCTTCAATGATCAATCCCTGAATCTATGAAATACCATAGATGTATGCCAAATACATTCATTCTATTCTACGAACAACAACAAGAAAAACCTTATCGTGTCTACTTCATTAATTTAATCCATAATTTCGTTATATAAAATTAAGTAAACATCAATTCAATTTATTGTATTCATTTAACCATCTGAATTGTTTAAAGAAGAAATAAAGCACTAACTTCATTGAATTCAAATTTCAATTCAGACATCTGATGAAGCAACTTATAACCATTCAATGTTTAACTATCATTGCAAATATCATTTATCCGTGAAAACAATCTTCGTTTCTTTTTTTTCCATCCACTTTTTTTCTTTGTTAACTTCTCTTAACCTTTGATTCTAATTAGATCTATTTTATTTTAAAAGAAATGAGATAGAAACTATAGAGATTTAAAATAAGTAGAATAAAACACATGCCCATAGATTCATTCCTATTAATCATTTTCTCTTCTTTTTTTTAAAAATATTCAGAATTATTTATTCTGTTTAATAAGAAACTCCATCTGGAGCCCCCCTGTGGTTGCTGCCAGTCCTAAGTCCGGATAAAGGAGGAGGGTTGAGCATGGGGTTAGCGACCACTTCCGTAGAAAACTAATTCGCTAAACAAAACGCTAATCAGAAAAAATTATTTAATATAAGTAATAAGGAATCAACAGTGGACGGTGGGTCAATTTCGTGGATTGGTTGACTTTAGACATTAACCCCGTTGGATGTCGACCGGCTCAGTGGTCTAAAGGTTAATTGTCCACGCTTGAGGCCGGAGATCCTAAGTTTGAATCCCGCCCGGCAGGATTATGGATGCGCACTGATAAGGAACATCATCCTATAATGAAACAGCCATCCAATTTTTTTCAGGTTTTCCATGGTGGTCTAGCTTTAATTGACCCATGAATTCAACTATTAAAATTACTACAATCTCCACAAAACCTTTTTCTGATATGAAATTATAATTAAAATAGATCTTCTCAAAAGTTGAAAACGTGAAACATTCTTCTGATAATATACAATTATTTATTATTTGTAATGTCATATCGTTATTTAACTATCAATCATATTTCCATGGTCTTTTTCAGGACCTGATCTTGGCTAGGCAACTAGGAGGAGTTAAACGTTTCTTTCGTTCAAGTATAGAACTCCTAATGAGTGCGAATCCATGACCCTTGGACTAGGATTTGAAGTCAGGACCTTCTGCCTTATTAACGAACACTTAATCTCTAGACTACAATTCTTCATTTTATTCAATTACAGTCTGTTGATGAGCCCTTAATCTCTTGATTACTGAGTTAACATGTGAAGGTGTATATGTTTAACCACAGCGGTTTATGAAATTATGCTACCATCTTCCATTGCATTTAGTTGATAGTTGTCTTACACCTGACACAGGTAAATTTCACTGGTCAAAGTTTCTCAATAG